AATTTACGCAATAAAATTGAAAAATTCCCAAAGAAATTCTTATTCTTATAGAGTTTATTGTGCGAAAGTGAATAATCATTGAAACGGCTGGTCAAACTGGGGAACAAATCAAAGGCAAGGGAGGGCGATCAAGAAAATTGATTATGCCGGTTATGTCGAGGACATGGATTGTGGGTAAAATTAAGTGCATTTACAGATGGCGAATTTGGGGCAGGAAATATGCCGAATTGGGGCCTGGTGTCCAGTACAAAGAATGAACGAAAGTGTGCCACAGATATCTGGAGCAGAAGAAAGCGTGTCATGAGCTATGTTTGGGAAGCAGTTCGATTAAAATATCCACTTAAACTAAAAGAAACTGGTACATAGGCGAAAATACACAAAGTCTGAGCTAGTAGTGTGTGGTTGGACAAAACAGAGGATAGAAAGCACCTGAATAAATTGAAGATACGTAGTTCTAGATCATGCAAAAAATAAATTGAAATAGATTAAGCAGTAATGACTGCACTTTCCAATATATAAGGATAATATTAGTGCATAAAAATGGAAGAAAATGTAACAGCATTCGAAAGGTGAAGAAGTAACTTACTGACATGCATAGGGTGAGGCATCCGAAAAAGACCATTGTGGACTCTCTGCGGACACCGAGTTGCTGCCCCGGCGGTGTAGACCACTTGACAGCCCGGGGCCAGTGCTCAAATAGGAACTCCAGCACCTAGTTAGCAGATATGAAATACGGGTAAGAGCAAAAGGAGAGGGTATTAAAGGCCGAGACAAAATGAATATCAACTGCGTTAAGCGTACCTGACTGTTGATCTCGGAATTGTAAACGGTGCCGAAGAGACAACGTGCAAGGGATAGAGCCACTGCACGAGGGGACATGCAGTTAATACCATGAAGCCCCACAACCTCCCGGAAACGACGCATGGCAAAATTCAGTGTGACCAGACGCCATCCCCTCTCCCGGTCATCAGCCTTCTTGCCACCGGAGCAGTCAATAGAAGACGCCGAGGCAACTAGCATTCGCACGAGGGTTATTGCTAGGCCTACCGGTGTCCACAGGGACCGGCTGAGATCCTCTGTCATGGCCGCGGCGAAGACGTCAGCATCCAACAGGCTGGCGGGCAACACTGTCAGAGAGTGTTTAATGGCCGATGACATCGCCCGGCTATCGAATGATTGGCGGTCTGATGAGAGCTGATCAAAACACAGGCCAGTATTCTGAAACGTCAGAAACATGCAAGACCACATATTAGCACACACCTTAACACAAAAGAATCTTAGGGCATAAGAAGCTCATTAAGGAATCAGGAGGTGGCTTACGAAATTTGCCAAATCTCGGATTTCTCGAACTTTCGAGAGCCAACCTAGGATTCGGTCAAGTCCCTCGGCCTCCAGTCTATGTAGGCGGAATACCTTTATCATGTCCACCAGGACTCTCGGAACGCCCTATTTCATACGAAGAAAAGGATGTTTAAAGACAGGATTAAAACCGTCATCAAATGCAGAAACGCACGAATAAAAAATATTATCCACCGCGAGGACATACTGGGTGCTCGGATGATTTCCTCTGCTCCAAGAGTGTGGCTGCGAACACTTCCTCCGTGGTAACCGAATGTTTTCCGTCTAGAAACAGAGGAACAAAGACATTTATGACTGGAAAGGCCAACAATGCGCCCAATTGCCTAAGTAAACTTTCTGGGGATAATTTTTCAGCAATAGTTGCATGCTCTCGTAAAAATACCTCTGAGACAATGGAAGTCCTGTACACATTGTTATAACTGCTCCACGCAAAAGACGTAGTCATTGATTTCTCGCTGTCGCATTTGGTATCAGAAATGTTTGTGAAATGGAACTGGTTGCTGAGATATGCATATTTTTGAATAATTATCGAATGCCCGGTGTAATCCTGTCTTTAAACGTCCTTTTCTTTGTGTTTAATAGGGCGTTGCAAGAGTCTTGGTGGATATGATAAAGGCCCTCCGCCTTCGTGGTCTGGACTTGCGTGGCCTCTATCGAGTCCCAGGTCGCCTATCGAAAGTTCGAGAAATCAGAGATTTGGCGAATTCCGTAAGCCACCTCCTGATTCCTTGATGAGCTTCTCATGCCTTAAGATTCGTTTGTGTTTAGGTGTGTGCTAATATGCAGTCTTGCATGACTCTTCAGAATGCGGGCCTGACATTTGATCTGCTCACGTCAGACCGCGAGACCTTCGATGGCCGGGCGATCGCGTCAGTTAGTTGCATAGATTTTAATGCAGCCATTGCCATAGGTCAGCGAATACT